TGCGTGGCGACCGAGGGCGCGCGAAGCCAGCTCCTGCCGGGCTGGATGCGCCTGGTGGGGTTCCCCGCTGCCTGGCACCGCGCTGGGCTCTGGGGACGTGGGGGCCGACCCCGGCCGGCGGGGGCCGCTCGTGAGAGCCCGGCCACATCTAGGGAGACCCCGCGTCCATCTCTGGAAGCTGTCTTTGCTGTATCCTGGAGACCTTGTGCCTGGCACAGAGCCGGCCTCCAGAAGCAGGGATGGAGTGAATCAATCCCCTTCGTTGACTGAAAACACAGTTTTCTCAACCCCTTTATCCCCTCTTCTTCTGAGAAAAAGAAAAGGCTGTTAATTGCCTGGGATGACCCCCCTTCTTCCCCCCAACACACACACACATAAGGAAAGGGAGAGAGGGAAGCAGATGGGTCCCAAAACTAACACAGGGATTAATAAAGATAACGGGCGGCTTTGGGCTGGAGTCCTCAGACCTGTTTCCGGCCACCACCTGTCTGTGTCATCTGTCTTGGTCCAGTCACTTTCCCTCCCCGAGCCTCCGTTTCTTTATGGGTAAGAAAACTCCTGTCTAAGACTCCATTGCGACTCTGTGGACTCAACGTCAACAGGACCCCTTGGGACACTGGAAGTCTGGTAGACTATGCGGTTTCTGAACTCAAGCCCAGAGACCATTCTGGTCACATACCATCAACTGAGAAAAGCCAACAGCCTCCTTCACCAAAGCACAGACAACTGCCTTAGCTTAGCTGCTCCTGAGGGCAAGGCCTGGTGCCCCACCCCTCCACCACCTGCTGCTGGAATGAAAATGGGGATATGTTAACACGGTGCTTTTCCCACACCAGCCTGATCTATGGGTAATGGCTGATGAGTCAGGAGCCTTGCTTGATGTCTTAGCTCTGCCAGAAAGTCAGGATACAGCTCGTGGTGGCCACTACGCTTCCTGAGGCAAGGAATTTAGATTTAGACAAAACAGCTAGTGCAGAATTGGGAGGAATATTCTGAGATAATGTATGTTTCCTAGCATAGTATGGCACATAATTCTAAATCTCCCTTTGCTTCCCCTATTTCTCAATTACGAGAGACTTTTTTATACGACCTTTATTGTTTTTTAAAAAAATACATTTTATTGATTTTTTACAGAGAGGAAGGGAGAGGGATAGAGAGTTAGAAACATCGATCAGCTGAGTCCTGCACACCCACTACTGGGGATGTGCCAGCAACCAAGGTACATGCCCTTGACTGGTATCCAACCTGAGACCCTTCAGTCCACAGGTCGATGCTCTACCCACTGAGCCAAACCGGTTAGGGCTACCTTTATTGTTTTTATTTCCATTCATGTCTTATTTTCCCAAGGAAATTCTAAGCCCTTTGGGTTGCCTTGTGTACCCGGGGTCATCACTTCACAGAGCTAGCAAGCAGTAGGCACTCAGTTTGTGGAAGGACAATGCTTTTTCTTTCTTTGACTAATTTTGAGAGTAAAACAATGTGATCGATGTACATACAACTTTCCAATTTAAAATGGCCATAAAAATCTCAGGTATTGTGCTCATTATCTTCAGGCACCATTTAAAAGTTTTTCATTTAAGGAAGACATTTATGTTCTCCATGTTTTTGTTTTTGTTTTTTTTAGCATCATCATATCTACAGATTACTAGCTGCATTCCTTAAGCTCTAAAAGCCAAGGGTCTTTTCATTAAATATTTTTTGAATGAAGGTATGTGAGGGTCCAGTGTACTATGTGTGACAGAAAAGCAACCAGATAGTTTAAAAACCTTGGGGGAGAAAGAGGGGGTCTTATTTACATTATTTAAATCTTAAAGTCAAGTCCTAGTCCTTGACTTTAAAGGAAAACAACACAGACCTCAAAGACCACCCAGATTCCAGCATATTCTTTCAGAGACCCACTGGTGTTTATAAATTTCCTTTCGCTATTGGAATTTTTAGTGCTGTTTACACACAGTGGCTGGTGTGAGTCCTGCATGAAGTAGGCACTTCAATAAGGGACAATGGATTAATTTTTACTACCAAGATCTTCCGGAAACCAAACTTGAATAACCCTGAGCTAGACACCATCAAGAATGGAAAGACCTGGTTTTAGGCCATTCTAATAAAAGTTTACCATAAAAATGTACAAAGAAAGGCAGAATTTTCCATCATCAAGAGACAGTATCTGAAAAGGCCATGTATGGCAAACAGAACAAAATCATCGTATCGTGAGTATAGCATCTGGATCCCAGAGTGGGCAGTTGTCAATTTTAATGAAAAATCTTCTTTAGGAATTTTTAATTTTTAGGGCATGCATTGGAATAGTCAAGTGGTGGAATTTCAACCAGGATCCCCAGAGAGAAATCTTTTGATACTTGAAACCTACAAAAACACAATGAGCATCATGAAAACAAATTTAGTTAAGTGGGGAATTTTTATCAATTGCATTTTACAAGTCTTCATGTCTCTATGAAAGGTTGTAATTAAATAAACAATCGGCAATTAGTTATAATAGAGGATGTGTGCTTCTAAAGAGCTCACATTGTTTGGTAAGCTTGATTAATGATTATAAACCTGTTTACAAGTATCGTTTCACTCATCTCTGAAATGTAGCCATCTCTGGGGTGGAAGTTGGCAGCGCTGGTTCACAGCAACACCATAACATGCTGCAACACAATTTAGGGAATCCTCTAAAGGCAAGAGCTGACCAACTGGAATTATGTCTCTTCCTGTAACACCTACATTTCTTCTCAGTTTTCCTAAAACCTGGCCAGAGCCAAAATTGTTTAGTGTTACTCTCTGGCAAGATCAGGAGTTATGAATTAATGTTTGCAAGCCAGAAAAAGAAAATAGTATATTTTGGCCCTAGGGAAGCAAATCAACAGCAGCAAAAGAGCTAAATACAATTCAGGATTGTATTCTAAAAGGGAAGTGATTTCCTATAAAAAAGTGGGTTGTTGTTGTTTTTTTTTAATTATTTGTATTAAGAGAGTAAAAACAGGTCAGTTGAGTCCAATATATCCTTGGCTCAGAGTGAAAATCATGGCAGCTACATAAGATCTGGAATCAAACATTTGGTGACTAATCAGTGTTTTCTAACTCCCATGTCCCACTCAAATTTTAAGCATGTTATCACTATTTTAAACATCTACACTAATAAAAGAGAAACATGCAAATTGGTGTCACTCCGCTATGCTCACCAGCCAATCAGGATAAGTATGCAAATTAACCCAACAAAGATGGTGGTTAATTTGCATATGTAGGCACGGAGCAAAGACTGAAGATGACTGAAGACTAAAGACAACTTAAGACTGAAGATGACTGAAGACTGAAGAGGCTTGGCTTCTCCACTGAGGCTGGAGCGGAGGCCTGGGTCCCGGGTGCCAGAGCAAAACCAGTGCCGGCAGCCAGGGGAAGGAAGGCCTATTGCACGAATCTCTTCGTGCAACGGGCCTCTAGTTATTAAATAATAGCTAACATTTGCTGATTGCTCACCTCATGCTAATTTCTTTAATATCATAATTTCATGTAATTTCAAAGAGATGAAGCTGCAGCCAACACAAACATTACCATCGTATTTTTCCTGCCCCCTCACAAAGAATGAAGGAAGGCTGTGAGGCGGACTCTCCTCCTTCCGGATTGCTCCCATCCAGATGAGGTAGGAAACCTCCAAGCCAAATCCTTCTATCCGTTGAACAACTCTTGTACTTCAGTTGGCTTTAAGCATGATCATCGCATCCTTGACACAATCCCAGGGCCTTACACCACTTGAGTGAAAGCACGGAGACATGCAACAAAGATGGTGGTTAATTTGCATATGTAGGCACGGAGCAAAGACTGAAGATGACTGAAGACTAATGACAATCGATCTAGTTTGCAACTCATGGTATACTCACA